CCTCGACTCTATCTGGCAACACTAGTCACTCCAAGAAAGTGAGAAGTGATTGTCTGGGCGCGGGAGAAGATGTCTGCCAAATCAACAGTTATAAAATTTGGCTATTTAAATCACAAATAATATACTTGTAACTAATATCTATTTATGTAACTTTTTAGGTATAGATCTACTACTTTACTGAAACCACTGTGCAACTATATGGTTGTTCCTGGTCTTGAGTTCAAACTTATGAAGATTGTTTTGCCACCGCAGTTTTTTAAGGCTTGTTATGAAACTGCTTCCAATTTAACAGTTGTGTAATTTTATTGTTGAAACACATGAAGTTAGGCCACTGAATGTCTGATTTATTTCTTAAGTAGCTTTGAAAATGTATAAAAGCTGATTATATTAATTCAAAAGCAAACACAGTTGCCGTATATAACTCTTGTAAAAATATTGTACAATAAAATTTTATATTTTATTTATTTTATTTGAGGTGTTGGTCTCGACTTGGTCTCGGACCCTAAAAGTCTTGGTCTTGTGTCGCTACACTCTGGTCTTGGTCTTGACTTGGTCTCAGGTTAGGTGGTCTCGACTACAACACTACCTTAGCCTGGTTCTGCTGGAGGTTTCTTCCTGTTTAAAGGGAGTATTTTTCCTTTCCACTGTTGCCTTTGTGCTTGCTCAGGATGGGAGACTGCAACAAAATCAAGATTCAATACAATCTGCTGGCTTCCTTAGATAAATAACATTACTAATGGATTGTTTTTAAGTATATGAATGTGTCTGTTCAATGCCCTGAGATAACTTCTGTTGTGACATGGCACTATATAAATAAACTGAATTGAAATTTTTATTTTCTTCTAACATACTGAGATTGATTAATAAAACCAAGCTGCAGCAATTGTATGTAACTGTCTCAGAAGAAGTATCCTCCATACCTTCTTGTTAAACTTCAACAAGCTAAACTGCAGCCTCTCTGTGAGCATGAAGAGCCGGATAGTGTGGAGCTAAGTACTTCAATGTACTTTTCTTTTTAGTCAGATTCGTGGCTCAACATGGCGAGTTGCCAGCTCAGAAAACCTTCCAAAGCAGAGCAGAGGGAGAGAGTTGGAGCGCTGGACTAAGCCCTCTTTTAGCTGCTTGCTGCATTTCTGGGGAAACACTGGCAATGGAGACTTGAGTGGACTTCACAGCATGCAAAGAAAATTCCTTCTTGTGTTGTTTAATCCTTTTTTAAACTTCATACATTTAACAGAAATGTGTGAACACCTAAAATATGTCAAGTTACCCATGTTTAAACTGTTTATTCTGAAAGTTCACACGTCTTGCACTGACTTGTATTTCAATAAACAATTACAAATAGCTAAAAAAAGAAAGTGAAAACTAATTTAGTTCATGTGCACATTCCAATATTTCAATAAACATAATGAGTTAGGAAAACTGTCTTGTTTAGTTTCAAATTTTCAGTGTTGGGCATAAACTTTTAAACTTATCAAGGCTTGTTTTTGACCACAGGCTATTCCACAAATATTAAATAATGTTCTTTAGTATTCTGCAGGAGCGTACTTTATCCAAGGAGTGAGTCCACATCTTGGCTTGCAGGCAGCAGAGAGGAGAAGAGGAGCAGCAGCTCAGAAACTTTGACACTGTGCTTTGTTCAACTTTCCCTCTGATCATTGTTCATGCAACTACTGACAAAACAACAGCATGGAGGTCATCGTTAGCCTATGTGAGTGTGAGATTATTCAGATAATGTGCTTAAAAAATACATACAATACAATAAAACAAAACATCAAGTGCATATTGTGTTGACAGTTGTTTTTTTCCCTGAATGAACTGATTTTCAGTCTTAAAATTTCAGATAGTTTTCTTAAAATCGAAACTACAAAAACAGTCAACAAATCCTTATTGTGATTTTGTCCACAAAAAGATGCAAGATATGCACATGAAATTAAAAAAAGAAAGCAAAATGCAAATGCAAAGTGATGCTACAGCTGTTATAATTAACATATGTCTCTCCTGAAAATGTTTTATGACCAAAGATGGATAAACTCAACTAATTCATTTAAAGCTTCTAAATTCAGTTCAGAATTTTCCAAAATATTACCATTAATACTTCAATAGTTCAGTTTCATTCTGTGGAAGCTGAACTTTAAACTTGCAAAATGCTGCAAACATATGTCAAAGATATAGATGCAATAAGATATAAATTGCATCATATAAAGTGATATAAATGGTTCATTTTTAGACTCAATAGAATTGTAAAACATTCACTATTTTATCATTTTTTTCAAAGAAACTGAAAGTTAAACTGGGTTTCTTTTTCAGACACAGATCCTGTCTAACTCTGAATGTTAGGAAAGCCTTGTATCTGTGACTTTCCTTCCGTCCATTGATTACGGTGACATTATTTACATGAACGCTCCTACAAGCATCCTGCAGATGTTGGATGCTGTCTATCATACCATACCATACCATACCAATTTATTTATAGAGCACTTAAAACAGCAACAAGGCCAACCAAAGTGCTGTACAAAAGAACACAAACATGCACAGCGGACAGGAAAACATAAAATAGAAACACAGATACAAATAGCAGCAGAAGCTAACTAAAATGGCCAACAGAGTAGAGAACAGACCGGACCAAAACAAATCACACCATGTTAAAGGCAAGCGAATAGAAGTGGGTCTTCAAGCGAGACTTAAAGACTGAGAGTGTGGGAGCCTGCCGGACACTCAGTGGCAACTCATTCCACAGTCGTGGACCTGCAACAGAGAAAGCCCTGTCACCTCTGAGCTTACGACGGGTTTCTGGGACTGAGAGAAGCATCTGGTCTGCTGACCTCAGAGAGCGCGGTGGGACATATGGCTGCAGAAGATCAGTAAGATAGGATGGGGCGGAACTGTTCAGTGATTTAAAAACATACATGAGAATTTTGAAATGGATCCGAAGGTGAATGGGTAGCCAGTGCAGGGAGGCCAAAACTGGCGTGATGTGCTCTCTATAGCCTGTACCAGTTAAAAATCGGGCTGCAGCATTTTGGACCAGTTGTAGACGAGCAATGGAGGACTGACTGATTCCAAACAGAAGTGAATCATGGTGCACTAAGATTCATAACTGGCTGTGATTATCGTACCCACCACTGCACCCTGTATTCACTGGTTAACTGGACATCATTAACTTCACGCAGACTCTCTCATGGTATATTTTCATCTTTAAATCACTTCTTGGTCTGTTGCCTTCATACATCTCCTCCTTCATACATCTCCTCCTTCATGTCTCTGTGTGAGTGCAGCTACAGCGTGCACTGTCAGGACATTATTACCTGCAGTGTTCCCTCAGTGAGGACGGAAGTAGGCAAAAGGGCCTTCTCCTACTCCGCTCCTGTTTCCTGGAATATCTTACAAAAAGATTTGAAGCTCTCGACCTTGACCTCTCTAAGTGGCTTTAAGAATCTGTTGGACACCTGGCAGGGACCAATGCAGATATGTTCCTGTTTTTAGTTTTCTACATTCACCTTAGAATCTAGCTGTTTTTTGTTACTTTTCATTTTTTAGCCATCCTATTCGTTAAAAAAATAAAAAAATAAATACAATTGTATGACTTTTTATAACTGTCTATTGTTGTCGCTGTTGTCCATTGTTGTCATCATTCTTTGTTGAAATCAGGTCTCTCTTGTAAATTAGTCCTCAAGGCTCAATGGGATTTACCTGTCTAAATGAAGGTTGAATGAAAATTGAAAACTAAACTCTGTTGAATTTTAATAAAATAGCATAATCAATAAAACTAAAATTTAAAAAAGGATGAAACGTCTCAGAAAACAAACAAACAAACAAACAAACAAAAAAAAAAACACCCACATGACCTGACTGAACATTGTTGGACTTTTACCTGGATTATTGAGCATGAACTTTGACATCATTAATACAATTAATCAAGAACGCACAATTATCCCATTGGCAAAAGTCAGGTCCTTAAACTAGGGGTGCACAATATTATTGGCATGGTATCGGCCGATATTAGTATTAAAGTTCAGTTTCAGACTTCAGCCATTCCATTAAAATAGCTTGCCAATATAAAAGGCGCTGTTTTTGCCTGCAGCGGCAGCACAACGTGATGACGTCACGTGCGCCTACCTAATCTCACAGCGGAGAGAAAAATTCAAAATGTCGGCGGTGTGGAAGTTTTATTTTTCGTTGGTGAGGATGTTGGATTCCGAAGATTACGGACAACGTTGAGCCTCGCTACATCGTCCCCAGTCGGAGATATTTTCCGACATAATGTTACACGAGTAACAAGTTGTCATTTCCGACATCATTAAGAAGCTAATAGCCGATAGCATGACTTGTTGGGTGAGTTTTACCACAGACATTTGGACATCGTGTTAGCCCCGTTAGCATGATTAGTCTTACGGTAAAATGGATAGACAAAAACTTTGAACTTAAAAAGGCTGTCCTTCATGCACAAGAGTGCAGAGGATCCCACACTGCAGCTAGGAACCTGGAACAAGCCTCCACAACTGAGACAGCATTGCAGCTGCTAATAAAAAAACATTTAACACTTTTCATTTAATATAAGTTAAGTGCTATGCATATCATATGGCTGTTACTGAATATATGTCACCAGCTCTTACAGCTGTTGCACAATTTTTGTAGCAAAAAAGCCTAAATAAGAGGAATATGTTCTGACAAAGGAACATATATAAAATATCGGCATATTGGATATCGACCAAAAATCCAATATTGTGCATTCCAACTGTAAACCTACATCTTGGATTCAAAAAAGCTCCAGCAGCTTAAGTAAACCTCATTAAAATGGGGTCAAGTGATTGGTAGAGAGCAGGAACAATGCATTACCAGTTAAAAAGATCAGTCAGTGCCCTTGACCAAACATGTAAACGTAACAATGGAAATAAGGGTGGCATGCTGCCTCTGAGCCAAAAGGTGAACACGCAGATAATGTGCTGAAGTTTCATTGGAATAAATAAAGGCTCAGTCTTCTGAAACATTTCACTTACCATGACTTGCCCTACAAACAAATTGGCTGCTTCTTCTCGGACAGTAAAGTTAGTGTTGATGGTGCGGTTAAACACAGGGTCGTTATCGTTGACATCAGTGATCACGATGCTCACAGTAGCAGTAGATGTCTAAAAAAACAAGAACACAAATCATCAGTGGGGGTTCATTTTAAAGAAACGTCACAAACAAAATATGATGAATCCAAGATATGTTTTATTTTATTTAATATGGACAAAAAAAAACACGTAAATTTAAGAGTGCGCTTACTCTTTTTTTAAATGTTTTTAAATTCTTTGTTCACACTGACACTAAAGACTGTTCTTCAGATTCTGCCTGTATGTTTCAGGTGTTCGTCTCACACACATTGATGATAGGCTGAAAAAGATCTTTACTGCCTTCGTGTTGGTTGAGTGAAGCATGAAATGCAAGAGTCGCTGCCAATCAACGGGACGGTTTGAAAGAAAGTAATTAGTAAGAATTAGATGCTACAGTTCACTTCAGATATGACAGCTACAGTACACGCTCCTGTTCTACATCCTGCAAAAAACAAACACTACAGAACTCATTAATTATTCTTAGTTTAGAGAAAACGTTAGCAGATATGAAACTGCATTAAAAGCAAAGTCATGTGGAATGAAAGCTTGACAATAAAAATGTGGTAAAAAAAAGAAAAAAAAGGTAACAAAAAAAATAAGAGCTTCCAAGTCAATTAAAATGTTTTAGTTTTAAATGAAAAAATTTGCACCAGTAAAGATGCAGAAGCCTGTGATTGATCAAACTCACTGCATTAACTCGGTGCATTAGACGATAACCGTTAACACAACTGTTTTCTACTCTGTACTGTGTATGTGTTACACTGAACAGAATTACATTTATATGTTACTTGTTTTTTATAAGCATTTGATGTGAGGTTTTTGATCTCAAAGCCCACATGGCTAAAACAAATCCTCACTGGCATCATTTATTTGCAAGGCCAGTTAGGACAGCTATACAGCCGATAACCTTCAAACCAAGACGCAGTTCATGCACACACAGTGCTTCTATAAATCAACATAGGAAATGGCACAATACACAAGCTATAATTTTTCAGTGTCATGAGGCCACTGTGCCTGCAAATGATCGTATGAAAGGCCTCCCTTTGTGGGGTGGACACAAGATGGGTGTTTGTGGGAGGACTTGGCTCCTACAAAATAAAATACACCAGAGACGACAGCTTTTGAAGTTTCTATATGACCTATTTAACAGCATCTCCATTATGTTCATTGCGGAATTTTCCACTATGGATTAATTGTGTTACTTGTTACATGTAATTCTGTCTAACTGGGCAACCTATGCAAACCATTTATGTTTTTGTATCTATTGCCTACCCTTAAAAAATAAATCCATATAAAAGCAATTTGCCATTAATAGTGATCTTATTAGAGATTGGCTCATTTTTCATTTCGCTAAAGACTTGAGGCCAATTAGGGTCACCATTCAAGCAGGAGTGTTGTTACCATTTCTTAAGAATTTCAAAGTCTACAAGCCTGAATGTGATTAATGAGCTGCCATTATTTATTTAATGTGAGCTGGATGAGGCTCTATGATGTGCCATCTTCAGAGCTAGCTGCCTGGTAGATGCAGAGGTGGCTGATGACGTTTTGCTTTAAAGTGATAATGCTGATGACAAACCTTGTTGCAGTTAACTGATATGATCAGGTTATAAGGAGTCCTGGACACTATCCTGCTGTGGGCAATCCAGCATGCCAGGGTGAAACTCTGGGATTCAAGTCCACGTGGCAGATTTGATTAAAGCATGTACAGGGGAGAATACATATTTTGGAATTTGTCCACCAGATGATAACAGATTGTTTTATGCAAGCCTAGATGATGTAAGACGGGAAAATGATGAAATATGTTAATGCATGCATTTGAACCTGCACTACGGACTGAGATAGAGTAGAAGTACTGTGGAAAGTTGGCTTTAAGTTTTGTGTTACCAGAGTTCTATGCTAATTTCATATTTAGCTTATGGGAATACTACTCCTTACTGCCACTATGCCGTTTATTAAAATTTTACAGAAAAATGTACAATAAATGCACGTGTGCTCAATTTATCCGTCACTGGGAACAGCTAAGAAGTCAAAATAATTAACACATTTTTGAGGATGTACAACCTACAGTGGGGAGAAGAAGTATTTGATACACTGTTGATTTTTCAGGTTTTCCCACTTGCAAAGCTTGTAGATGACTGTAATTTTTATCATAGGTACTCTTCAACTGTGAGTGATGGAATCTAAAACAAAAATCCAGAAAAATACAATGTATGATTTTTAAATAATTAATTTCCATTTTATTGTGTGAAATAAGTATTTGATCATCTATCAACCAGTAAGAATTTTGGCTCTCACAGACATGTTAGTTCTTCTTTAAGAAGCCCTCCTGTTCTCCACTCATTACCTGTATTAACTGCACCTGTTTGGACTCGTGACCTGTATAAAAGACACCTGTCCACACACTCAATCAGACTCCAGCATCTCCACAATGCCCAAGACCAGAGAGCTGTGTAAGGACATCAGGGATAAAATTGTAGACCTGCACAAGGCTGGGATGGGCTACAGGACAATAGGCAAACAGCTTGGTGAGAAGGCAACAACAGTTGGTGCAATTATTAGAAAATGGAAGAAATACAAAATAACGGAAAATCTCCCTCGGTCTGGGGCGCCATGCAAGATCTCACCTCGTGGAGCATCATTGATCTTGAGGAAGGTGAGGAATGAGCCCAGAACTACACGGCAGGACCTGGTCAATGACCTGAATAGAGCTGGGACCACAGTCTCAAAGAAAACAATCAGTAACACTCTACGCCGTCAAGGATTAAAATCCTGCAGTGCACGCAAGGTGCCCTTCCTCAAGCCAACGCATGTCAAAACCCGTCTGAAGTTTGCAAATGACCATCTGAATGATCCAGAGGAGGAATGGGAGAAGGTCATGTGGTCTGATGAGACAAAAATAGAACTTTTTGGTTTAAACTCCACTCGTCATGTTTGGAGGAAGAAGAATGATGAGTACAACCCCAAGAACACCATCCCAACCGTGAAGCATGGCGGTGGAAACATCATTCTTTGGGGATGCTTTTCTGCAAAGGGGACAGGACGACTGCACCATATTGTGGGAAGGATGGATGGGGCCATGTATCATGAGATTTTGGCCAACAACCTCCTTCCCTCAGTAAGAGCACTGAAGATGGGTCGTGGCTTGGTCTTCCAGCATGATAACGACCCAAAACACACAGCCAGGGCAACTAAAGAGTGGCTCCGTAGGAAACATCTTAAGGTCCTGGAGTGGCCTAGCCAGTCTCCAGACCTGAATCCCATAGAAAATCTTTGGAGGGAGCTTAAAGTCCGTGTGGCCCAGCGACAGCCCCGAAACTTGAAGGCTCTGGAGGAGATCTGGTTGGAGGAGTGGGCCAAAATCCCTGCTGCAGTGTGTGCAAACCTGGTCAAGAACTACAGGAAACATCTGATCTCTGTAATTGCAAACAAAGGTTTCTGTACCAAATATTAAGTTTCATTTTTCTGGTGTATCAAATACTTATTTCACACAATAAAATGGAAATTAATTATTTAAAAATCATACATTGTATTTTTCTGGATTTTTGTTTTAGATTCCATCACTCACAGTTGAAGAGTACCTATGATAAAAATTACAATCATCTACAAGCTTTGCAAGTGGGAAAACCTGAAAAATCAACAGTGTATCAAATACTTGTTCTCTCCACTGTATGTATGACATTTACCAGTTTATATATTGTATTATCCAACAACGTTCAGTCAGGTCATCTGGAAGGTTTCGTCTTTTTGTTGAAATGTTTCATCCTTCATCCAAAGGACTTCATCAGCCCGAGAAGCCACAGCAAACTTAGTCCCACAAGCAGCACACTCCCATAGTGGACCAACCAGTTTGCTGGTGATAAGATGGTTTCTCGTCGACTCCTTGTCGACTCCTTTTTTGGCTGTCACAGCCAAAGTGACTGATGAAGTCCTTTGAATGAAGGATGAAACGTCTCAGCAAAATAAAAGAAACCATCCAGATGACCTGACTGAACATTGTTGGATTTTTACCTTGATTATTGAGCATGAACTTTGATATATTGTATTATGTTTCACCACTTGCTCTTACCAAGATGGGACACTTTTCCCCTCCCCTCCCTCTCTGCTTTGCTGCTCTGTCTGTCTGTGAAACTGCTTCTGAGCCTCTCCCTACATATCTTCAGAACCATAATTATGGACTTGTTTTGGTCAGTTGGTCCCTCAACGCAATTGATAACATTTCTTCGAAGAGAAGACAGGCTTTAGGCGAGCCACTTTGCCCTGTTGGCACGCACGCAGCTGGATATCTCATTGACTTGGAAGACTTAATGATGTGTCTATCTCTGCTGCCATTTGTGGATCTTAAGAACACATATTTAATTGGATTTACGATAACTGGTTCCTGCTTTTTGGATTCGGCTGGTTGCTGGTTTTATCAATAATCAAGGAAGTCGTTGGCAGCAAATTTGGACCTGATCACGCTGCTTGCCTTTATGATGGCTTGGTTCGTGCCTCGAGTACCCAGACTCAAATGCTTTGGGCAGAATGGATCCGATCTCAGGGATTTTACTCAGTCATGTTCCATCGGTGTGGCCATGTAATTTGGACATTTTGGAACTGTTTGGACCAACACAGTCTCAAGGTAGATGTCATTAAGTTCTACCTGTCCCCAAAACAACTGTGTGTTTTTCTGAATTTGGCTCCCTTGGCTGGCCTTGAAGGTCATTTTATCTGAATTCGCCTGGAGAACATGTGATCTGACCCCCCCCCACCCTCGAGGAATTTCCAACTGAAAACCAGATGAAACCAGCTGAATAAACTTTGTGTCGTCATTTCAGGACTCTTGGATTCTCATAGACATTATCCTTGGCCATTCCTCGACATACCTGGAAAATGTTTACTGATCTCACCAGAGGACACTGACTGATTATTCCATCCTTATCAGAACTCTTACAGTGCCATCGAGAGTGTCTACGGACATTGCTCACCACTCTCGTCGTCTCCCCCCTCTGCAGAATGTCTACGTCACTATCTGCTTGTTTGTGCCGGTTTTTTTTTTTATATCAGAGTTTTTCTTCTCAGACAAGTTTGATAGGAATTGTTTCGTCTCCAATCCTACATGTGTTCAGTTTCACTATTTTTTGTCTGTCTAAACAGATCTCACTTGTAATGAGTCTTCTAGGCTCAATGTGACTTATCTGTCTAAATAAAGGTTGAATGAACGTTTTGATCTAAAAAATGAAGCATGATTGAATGTGTTCACGTCTTTCTACTTAAAATTTCTTATAATTATTTTTGCTGCTCATAGGTTCTATTTTAACTTCATCAGATCACCCAAATGGACTAAATGCATTCACCTTGTTTGTATTTGCAAACTTCATATGTTGAATTTTGTGGTGAAGTTGCAGAAAATGTTTATCTTTAAAGATGCCTCAGTAAGTGCTTTGCCAAGACTCTCTTAAAGATTTTTTTTTTTGCTTTATTTTTTGTTTTAGAACTCATCTTGAGCCTCACCAGATCAGACTTTAAGAGGCCTTTAGTCAAACAATGAAGAGCAAAGCAAAGGGCCACATCAGCCCAGGTGTGATGAAGATCTTTCCTCTTCCTGCATGGACAGGTCATTAACTAGCATTTTATCACAGTACAAATAGAGCCAGTATCAGAAAAATAAGTTGCTTTCAATATTTTCTTTTTGCAGTTTGATCATCAATTATTAATATTTTCAGCATCCACAGGCAGCTACATTAAAAGCCTACTGCTGCTTGTAGAAAGCCATCTTTAAAATAATAATAATTTACATAGGTTGGCCTTCATAAACCAAAATATTGCCTTTAGAAGTAAATGAATATCTGAGAAGTTACTACAAGTCATCTGGAATGTTAATCATCTAATACACTCAGACTGCTGCTTTTTCATTTGTTTGCCTTTTTATTTCTACAATTGTACAACGATGTACTAAAATAATTTTTAAAAAACGAGACGACACTTTTGATCTTTTCATTGTTTCTGATCAAACTGGCTGCACATTCAGTTGCACCAAGTTCCTCACCTTCACACTCTTACACTTTTACTCCTCCCCCATTTAATTTACTCCCAGTTGTGACAGTATTTCTTCCAAGCTGTGACATAGAGCCCACACAAATCAAGTATTAATATACTTTGTGGACACAAGATTTTTTTTTGCAACACTGAAGAACATTAATTATACAGCTTAAACCAGCTGCTCTGTACAACATTCAACATTTAGATAGAGCTCCAGCTAGTGAGTTGCTGTGTGAGGCAAAAAAAAAAAAAAAAATCATCTTACACTCTCTTCAGTCATTTCTTTATTTTTACTCCAACCCACCGTTTATCTACTGTGTCCATATCACTCCGTATCTCATTTAATGGGACAGACTCCCACTTGACCAACACACTGTGACTGCCAATAGTTATGAGGTGAGAGGGCAGCAATCAACATCACTCTAGTGACAGCTCATCAGCTAATGTTCCCTCCCTATCATAGACTGCATTTTAAAAAAGGAAACTGCATTTCACCTCTCCCTGGATTAGAGACAGGTGCAACAAAGCGAGCCAACTGAGGTGAAGTCTAATTAAATTAAGACAGTTTATGTTATTAGCAGCTCCCGGTGGGATGCAGTGCAGCCAGCATTCACATTTGGTTGGAGTCTGCTGTTTCTTAAGGCTAAGTCGCAGTTCTGTGAATATTGTTTCCCAAGTGCTTTTGATAAAATTGAATTGGCAGCAGCTTTATAAAAGGCACGCTCAACAAAAGTTACACTTTAATACATACGGTCTGAGTCATTGTTAGTGTAAAGTAACACATACGTCTTTTTGATGCCACAGAATTGGGAGGAAAGGTGACAAAACGACCCAATTAAAATCAGACATTTTCTGCTCTAAACTGCCATGTGTCTTTAAATATCTAATATAACAAACTCGTTTTAAACCGTGCTGAGCACAATGCTTAATTCCTTTAGTCAGCACAGCAACTGCAGATGTATAATGAACAGCCAAAACATTAAAACCTTCCTCTGTAGCAACGTTTATTTGTGCAGTATTTGTAAATTTCACATGAATGCTGGGGCCCACAGTTTTACAACAGAATATTATTTGTAACATTGTTAAAAATTAAATTTATGACTGTGAAATACACAAGTTAAGACCAAGCATTCCTTGAATGAATCACTCGCCACCTTTCCTGCCAGCGTTTTTGACTAGAATCACATTATGTTGTTAACAGAGTTATAAATGTTTTGATTTACTCTCATTAGCACTTCTATCCTCTGCCATATTGCAAGCTGTTTCAACATGTGCATGTGACCCAGAGAATGTGTTGAGGATGACTATCAGTAGGTACTTGGTATGTTTCTGAAGGTTGCTCGGCTGTGGCAGCTGTCTTTGGGTTTATGAGATAATTTGCTAATGCTACTGACAAATGTGCACATACAGACATATAACATATATATACATAT